GGAGTTTTTAAAGATCCATGCCAGGGGCTGGGCTATGACTCAGTTACTGTCTGTCCATGCATACTCCCTTGGGCTGGTCCAAGTACCTCTGCAGGTATGCCTACCTCTGGTTGATAACCCCTGGTGTATAGAATATTTATTTGAATGACATTGGGAAATACAGTATGCAGGCACAGTGAAAATGGGAATAGGTTGCATTACTTTGAAACAGTGCAAAAAATTTGGAATGTGGAAATTAGTCTAAATCTTTCACCAGACAGTTCTCTAAACAGGATTCTAGCATCTAAATTCATCAGAAGTTGACTTTGGATGAAGCACTTTTCTGCTTGCTTCTTGAATATCGATTACAAGAAATATTCTTTGTGAGTCATGTCTGCACACTTCTAGAGAGGACTTGTTGGCAGGGTGAATTTCACCAAACCACATTCCAATTTTTAGGGTGCTAGTTTTCTTTGGTAACTAAGGAGTTTCAGTTTACCTTTGCTAATATTTGTCATTGTGACAAGAACTATCTATTATGAAATAGAACAACAGGCTGTCTACTTCTGTATGTCTATAACTTTAAAAAATGCAAGTCAGCACCCATTCACAAGCACATTATGAAACCTTGCTTCATCTCCAAGTGGATGTAAGATGATCTGTAGTGATTTATGGTGATTCAAGCAAAGACTCAAACCCCAAACATGCTCCTACATATATATTGCTCTATTTCAATTAGTAATAATATATAGCTGGTGTAATAACTATACTCGTTCAAATTCTATTGCTAGATAGAGCAGGGTATCACTCATCCGGTCCCATGCAGCCCCGATTAAGCCAAGATATAATTTGCATCATAACAGGCATATCACAGGTGTTTAAAAGCTAGGCAATTAAGTTGAATTAGTCATGATTGTTTTGAGGCAAAGAATTAATCTGAATAATTCAGAGGTACTTGATGTGGGACAATGAGCTTGTCCGGCTGAAAGGTCTGGGGCTTGCTGTGACACAAAAAGGTCAGGTGAGAATCAAGCTAGTTGTCTGTCTTTAATCTCTCAGATGCATGGGCAGCATCAGGGACCAGATTTTATGGCTCTGTGGGCCACATCCAGCCAGTGAGCCATATCTTTAACACCCCTGAGATAAAGGAACTAAATGAAAATAACTGCAGTCACCCAGACTCTACTACTGTTACTTACATTGAGTAGAAACACACTCCTGGAGCAGCCCCATTAAAGCCAGTGAGATTAACCGTTGAAAAACAAGACTGGAAGGGAGTTCAAGAGAGTTTGTCCTGTGCTCCAAGGAGGGCTCAACAATACCCAAACCATTCCTGACAGATGTTTGTCATTCCACACATTTTCCAGGACTTAACTTTTCCATGTTGTTTTTCCTGTAGGAAATTTCCTCCCACTAATGTCTAACCTACTACTTTGTTTCAAGTCATTCCCTCTTTTCCTAAACCTAGTAGACACGAGTCCATTCTGCACTAATATTTTTTAACACATTATGACACTCTTACAATGTCCCTCATAACAGGTCTTTATCTACAGTAAAGAATTGCAATTCTTTTAATCTTTTCTCAAAGATCATGTTTTCTAAACTTCACATCATTTTGGTTGCTTTCCTCTGATTGCCTACACTCTTTCTTGAAGCTTTGTTCCCAAACCTGGACAAGGCTGTCAGATGAGTTAGGGTTAATGTCTGGGTTTTCCCAGACATGTCCTCTTTTTTGTGTCCTCCCATCTCTGCCTGGGCAGTTTTTTTAAATATTAATAAATGTCTGGGATTTTGCATTGCCTTTGCTTAGCATCAAAGCTATTCCCAGCACTTCCTGGCTTGCCCTAGCAAGGAGCTGCTTGGGGCTGAGGGCAGTGGGGAAGGGCGATTGGAGTCAGGGGCATCACTTGTGTCTCACATGTGCTCTGGCAGTTGCAGGCAGGTAAGTTTATGAGGGCAGGAGGGCAGGGTTTGGAGGGCAAGGGCTGGGGATTGTCAGTGTGTGTGTGTGTATGTGTGTGTGTGTGTGGAGGATGGGTGCCTCCCAGCACTGGGGAAAGCTATCCAGGCACTGGGGTTGCAGCAGAGAGGGAAGGTGTGGGTGGTGTGTCTGCCTCTCCAGTGGGGAGGGGGACCTTTTGGGGGGGGCAGCAGGCAGCTGCAGCCAGTGGCAGTGGGGCCAATCCCTTTGCTCCCAGGGGTGAGCCAGTTGCTGAAGAGCTGTGGTTTGGGAGTGAGGGGGACCAGTGGGGCAGAAGGACAGGCACAGGCAGGGCCAGGGGGCTGCAGGTAAGGAATGTGGGGTATCAACAGGGATGGAGGGAGCTGCAAGTTGAGTGAAGGGTACCAGCATGGTCTGGGAGGGAGGGTACTGTGAGTTGGGAGTGAGGGGCAGCAGCAGGGCTGGAGGGGTGGGGCTGTAGCTTGGAAGTGAAGGGCAGGGGTAGGGGATGGGCATATCACTGTCCCCCTGTAATAAAATTAACACCGCCCCTCCCCATGTCCTCTTTTTTAAA